TGAGATAATATGAGAGCAAGAATAAAAATGAAAATGTAGCAAGATTTTTTCAAGTACCGTACCTGATTGAAAATCGGATCGCGTCCTCGTTTCACCTCTGATGTTTGTTCCTTGCCGGTTTTCAAACCCACGATCGACACTTTACACATCGCCATTACTTCTAGTTCCGGCTTTAGTTGCCCAGCTAGCGCTAAATACGAAATTCTAAAAGAGTAGCTAAACACCAAAATCTAACGAGAAAAAAGTTTCGAGTTATTCCCATGACCGACTTTCTGTTAACCTCGGCATTAATTGATAATTCAATGTTTTTCATCAATAAGCAGACACGAGGTTGTTAATATAGAATTTATTAGAACACAATTGCTGACGTTTCGGCGGTTTCGCCTTCTTCAGAGCCGTTTATTTGTTGTAAGTATTTAAGTTAGTTGGTGGATAGCCGCCGCACAGAGTAATACATGGTCGGTTATCGTGTCTGCTTATTGATGAAAAACATTTCGAGTTATTATTCAGATTTTACTAGTGATGTAATATTGACCAAGTTTAGAATTATTCGGTTTTCTTCTTAAAACTTATTGCATGTATGATCGTGTTCCTTAGTAAGATGATATAAATCATTGCTGATCCATTGTGATACACTTATTCTTTGCTTGGTCCTAGTTCGACACCTCGGCTGTGCTTCAACGTACACCACGTCGAAAGTTGGCAAGTCACCAGTTTGTGCTCAACCTCTCGTAGGAAGAATGGATCTCCTCATGCTCTTCTCTATTGGATAGTTCCGATGGTCAACAAAGGCGGAAATTCCACTTGGCCCTTGTTTGAGCTTTCCGATGATTAAGATTCCAGGTAACACAGTGTGTCTCGCACACATCACCATGTTGGAAGGAAACTCAAGACATAGCTGACGATTGCAAGGGAGAGAAATGGATGGAAAACATTCTGGTGTGCCCACACTGCTAGTAAAGACATGCCATACAAGGAGATATGCGACTATAATCAGCTGTTCTAATCTTCCTCATTGGAAGTCACGTGAAAAAGCGGTGAGTTTTTCAAGAAGCTGTTGATAATGTAAATCGCCACAGTTTCTCGTTTTTTGAATGTGTTATTGAAGCGTTTGGCCTAATAAATTGTTGATCAGTATATTCTTCCAGGCTTTCAAGAAGGCGATTCTGCCGAAACTTCAGCTGCTGTTGTATCGTATTGTGTGTTTTTCTATAGAAGTGCTATATAACAACCGCGATTGCTGAACAAGAAAACGACGCATTCATACTCCAATGCCGAGGTTAATAGAAAGTCAATCCTGGGAACTGTTACAAGTTGTACCAGCAAAATACTTTCGACTTTTGAAGGAAGCGTTGTCACTAAGGCAGAAGATTATCTTAGCTAGACAGCAAATCAACTCTCTCCGCCGCTGTTTTCAACATCGAGTCGTGCCGAAGTTTATAAAACGAAAGCGATTTCACGAGATATGCTGTCAACCAGAGGACACCCAACAAGTACGAGGCATCGAAATGGAACTACTTCGAGCTGCACTACGAAGTAAGCAGAACGAGATGTTCGTTAGAATGAAGAAGTGTGCGACGAAGGAACATTTTGGTGCTTTGTATTTGGAGGATCGCCTTTGGACGAGAATAGTTGGTGTGTAAATATTGATATGCGATTTTATTAGGTATAGTGCTAAAATATTCACATATCTCACTTCAAGAAACAGCAGCAAACAAGTTCTTTACTATTCTGATAATTGTCAAAATAGAGTTGATAATGCACCAAGAGCATCACCCACAGGGTCACCCACCGTACTTGTAGAGTTGACCATATCTGAGAAAGCGCGCTCGCTACTAGAACAGGGTCTAAGTTTTTCACCATCGCAACCCATTTCTAAAGCAACCGTGCGTAGGATCGCATGTAGTTTGTATGAACTTCAAGATCGACTCCGATATAAGGCCAAAGAAAAAACATCGAATAGAAATGAAAATGAAGAAATGGCGCTGCTACCACCTCCTTCCCGCAGAGCGTTCTTCAGACAGCAGAACCCCAACGTCGAAATTAATGCAAAGTTTCGCATGTCTTCGGATGATGTTCTCAAAATCGTTCTTCACTATTGCGATAGAATGTATATCTCTAACCTCACAGACGCACAAAAACGTGGTATGCGAGAAATTATGGAATTAATAAATTTTAAGAACATTAGACTATCAGTTAGTGATAAAGGGAGAGAGTTCGTAGTTATTCCTCGGCAGTTAGATGTTTAGATAACGGAGAATCATCAGTGATGTTACCCTTTATCGCCCACCGTCTGAAAAGGAATACAGAAGACAATACCGAAAACGACAGTGAATGGGTCAACGTGGCAAAGGCAGCGTGCTTAAAACCAACGGTTATTTCGCATTGTAAAATAGATCAACCAACATGTCCTGTTCTGTACTTATTTATTAGATACATAAAATAGTACCAGCTGACGATCTCGCGTCTACCAATCCTTTATCCTACAAAGTTAGACCTATTATCAGCTGCGTAGACGGGCAAACGGATAGAATAATATGGTTTCTAGACCGAATAGTTATCCAGCTGCTTAACCACATTCCAGCTCAGCTCAAGAACACCCAAATATTTCTAGAATACGTGATGGAGTCCTTCCACGTTTCCGCGCTTTATACTAAAGCATCTAATAACACTGCAATGCAAACCATCCACGAACTTCCTGTTGAACACGAACGAAGAATAAATATGCACGGCTTGTCTATTCAGCAGCTTATGGCTCTCGTAAAAGAGTGCCTAAACTGCTCGATCAGATGGTCTGGGAATTATTGCGCGCAAATTAGAGGGCTAGCTATGGAAGAGCGGTTGGCACCAACTCTGGCCATTGCGCTCATGTCTAAAGTAGAAGTCCCGGTTATCGATCTCCGGCCGCTACTCTACTGCAGATATATAGATTTGTCATTGTGTTTTGTCATCTTCTCTACCCAGGAGGAGATGGACAAACGCTTTGAATTATTGAATGAGCAGTCTGAGTATATTAAATCCACCCGGGAGAAACCGAAAGAGACCTGGCTTCCATTTCTTAACGTTCAAATCAACTCATCAAGTAGCGGTTACATGACAGTGTGGTAGCGAAAACCAAGTAAAAAAACATCCTGATTCATTTCCTCTCTTCCCATCCTTCACACACAAAGAAGGCACTTGTGAGAAACATGTTTTGAACAGCCACCTCTGTGTGCACAAGCAGGGAACTAAAGGAAGAATCGCGCGACTTGGCTCGGCAAATTGCCATCTCTAATGGCTACGAAATAGTTATCGCACGAGATAAGCTTAGAAGGAGAGCGACGCGTCAAAATGAAACACTTGGCCAAAATATAGTCCCGTTCATCCTGCCCTTTATTAGAGATGAAGTAAGCATAGCTATAAAACGCTGCTTAAGAAACGCAGGCCTAGAGGAATCGGTAGCGATAGTTGAAATACCACCGAATAAGTCACGTAAAAAAAGCGGTGAGCTTTCCGAGGAGCTGTTGTTCATGCAATTATCCTGAGTTTTTCGTCTTTTTGTACGTGTTATTGAAGCGTTTAGCCTAGTAAATTGCATATCAGTACACCCTTCCAGACTCTGAAGAAGGCGATACTGCCAAAACGTCAGCTGCTGTTATATTGTATTGTGTGTTTTTCTATGGAAGTAAATGTATACTGTATAACAACCTCGCGATTGCTGAACAAGAGAACGGCGCATTCATACAAGTACAATTCACTTGTTTCCCAATAAATTATTAAGACGAGTTTCGCAGCCGTTTGCACACAGCACCACAGCACGACAGAGGTTTTCGGCTCAAGACCGGAATTTCTTTGGGCCCGTTTTGGCTTCCGAGTGAAGCCATAATGGTATTTAAATCATAGTTCCTACTAACCTTTCCGACTATTAGTAAGGAAAACGTTTCCACTCCACTCCACTCCACATAGTCTTGCTAAAGACACAGCGCACTGCAATACGACAACTAGCACAACTGAACAAATCGCGATGCCAATTCTTGAACCTGTCGCTCAATCAGTATCGCCCTTGGGAATCGCGGATCCTAGCTGGGCTAACTAAGTGACAAAACAAGTGTCAAACGACCCTAGAGACCAACATACTTGTGTGTCAAGGCCGAACGCTACAACGTGGTTTACCAGTGTTGCACGTCATTCATTAAGGGTATGCACATTCTTTATGAGAAAATCGATAAACCAAACGTCTTTTTTTGGACTTATTTGTAGTTCGATAATACAATATCTGAAAAAAAAACCTATTAATTCGGAACGACGGCCAGGCCTTGCAAAAAATCGTCCCTAATGAGGATATTAACCGATCTCTAATGTGTTGGTAACAAGCTGTTCAGAAATAAATGAGCGCTTTAAAACATTTATTGTTTTAAAGAACTTTTAAACAGCAGAATATTCTTTGTATTTTGCAATATTATATATTGTTAGAAATCTGATTTTATGCTCTTTTTAACCATGCTTTTATATTTTGTCAAAACTTTAATTTTTAACCAAATTTGAGCTTTGCAATTTTAGATGTCAAAAATGAATTTCCGTCAAATTTTCTTTCCTGAGTTCAAACTCGGTCGTAGTACAGCAGAGACGGCGCGAAACATTAATTAAGTTTGGGGTGAAGGTAGTATTGATCAATCAACTGTGCGCACGTGGTTCCGGAAATTCCGATCTGGTGATTTCGACCTCGATAATGAGCACGTCCACGGACGTCCCAATGAATTTTACGACGACGAATTGAAGGCGCTAGTGGAAGCAAATACGCGAATAACTGTCCGAGAGCTTGCAAAACAGCTTGGCGCAAGCACAGGAGCGTTTCCACTCACTTCAATCACATAGGAGAGACAAAAAAATTCCACAAGTGAGTGCCGCACGAATGAAATGGTAATCGAAAAAAATCGCTGTTCTGAAGTGCTCTGCGCAACAAAACGACTCTTTTCTTGGTCGAATTGTGACTTGCGACGAGAAGTGGATTCTATACGACAACTAGCGACGTTCAGCTCAATGCAATTAGACTCCACAACATTTCCCAAAGCCGAAATTGCACCAAAAAAGGTTACGGTAACTGTTTGCTGGCCTGCAGCTGGGTTGATTCAGGATTTTTGAATCCGGGCAAAACGATTACAGCAGAACTCCAACAACAACGACCGGCATTAGTCAACATTAAAGGGCCAATCCTTCTCTACGACATCGCCAAGCCTCACGTTGGGAAACCAGCGACGCAGTTGAGGGAGTTGGGCTACGAAATTTTGCCCCATCCGCCATATTCACCAGAACTCTCGGCTGCCGACTATCACTTTTTCAAGCACCTCGAGAACTTCCTGCGCGAGAAATGCTTCACCAACCACGATGACGCAAAAAATTCCTTCAATGAATTCATCGCTTCCAGAACCATAGAAATTTGTGCAACTAGAATAATTTTTCCTAGAATAAGTTTCTTTCTTGTTATCGAAATGTGTAGACTTAAATGGTCTTTATTTTGATTAATAAAGTTTTGTTTGAAGCAAGTTATAATATTTTAAATAATATAGTTTAAAACGCTCATTTATTTCTGAACGCCCTGATATTAGTGACTGTTACAAAGTGAAGAACACTGTTGAAAAGAGACCACAATTAACAAACTCTGAAAATATCAGAAGTTTTAAAAAAAAACTTTGCCAAAGTGGGAAAATGAGAAGAGGATGGAAGATATTTCCTTCTTTACAAAATCTTTTAGTGATGTAGAAAAAGAAAGAAGACAAAAGAACATAGTGCAGAAAAAGAGAAAAGAAACAGAGAGAGGGACGAGGAAAGAGAGAGAAAAAGAAAACTATGAAAATATGCAAGCGAGAACCGTTTCATCCATCGTTCCTTCCTAAATTCTTCCAAAGCTTTAAAATCACATATGTTAGAACATCCAACTAACATCTTTTTTATTCTGATAATCGCCAGGTCGACAACCAGATCTTTCTCTCGCGAAAAAGAAGTTCTGCGCAAACTTTTAGCACCCGTGAAAGATCGGAGGTGATAGAATTTTCCATATGGAGAACTGCAAAAGAACGACATTCTCTTTTTGGGACCTCTGCAGAATGAAAGGCGATTCGGAAGACAAAAAATCAGGAAATGTGTGCGGCTAAAAGTCAAAACCGGGCCAGATTTATCAAACTTATTAACTTATAAGCCTATTTCTTATTGTACTGAACCGACTTCCACTTGAGCATCGACTCGGATCATCCGCTCTGAAGAACATGAAGATGTAAAACATTAGCCAAATCAAAGTCGTACAACAACCTCGTGTAAGCTGAGAAATCAAAAAAACGTATTTCATAAACTATAACCTTTGAACTCTATCTACATTTTTCACCTACACTTTTTTGAAGCGCGTACTCTCCACATAAATAGATCTGATAAAACTTTTTCTCAAAGTTTTCACTGTTTTTTTCGCTTGACATAGTATCCTTGAAATTCAGAACATCATAAAGTAGTGACTGTTCGAATCATTTCTTTCATAAAAGACTTCTTCTTTACAATCGTAACACTGCCTAAGTACCAAGATTAGCTGAGTTAATTACTTAGCAGGCAAACAAAACCAGGAAGTTTGGCGACTTCTTTTCTTCGTTCTGGTTTATTTCGTCCAAAACTTTTCGCAAATTCGTATATTTCATAGCCGACAAGACTGCTGAGGTTATGCTAGTGTTTGACTGCTTGGATTGCATGTTAGTCTGACTGTTCGAGGCTTTGAAGAACGCTGAATCGCCGGAACGTCAACCAGAATTGTGTTGAATAAATGTTTCTTTTAACAACGTCGTATTTGCTCATCAGAAAAACAGTGCACTGTAGGTATTTTTATTCCACGGAGTGTTCTTATCAAGTGGTAACTAACACAACAAGGCTGGTGTTTCAAAGGGTTTTAGCGCTTTCGCGTCGAAGTGCTGATGCTCGGAATCGCTCTAATTCGATTGAGACAACGAAGACGTCGAGGCGCCGATTGCCGATGCTCCTGCCCTTTCAAGCTCCTCCACGAGAAGTCCATTCAAATTCCGACAATCGGCAAGAATAAGAAGACACTTAGGATGCGCCTACGCCCAATTTTGTCATTCACTGCGATTATTTTCGCAATCAGAATGAAGTAGAAAAACAGGGAAAGCGTGCCATGCCGCTAAAATGTGATGTATATTAACAAGGATGACGATAAAAGCACAGTGTATTGCAATACGCATGGCCGTTGATTGTGTCCCGAATAAACGAAGTTTTCCACTTCCCCGTGGTGGGCAAATTACTAACAAACTTCTCTGGGACCACAAAAAACACGGACTTGATAGATCGGCAGACCACCGAAAGTCAATTTACAAGCCCGATGTATCTCCTCTACTATGTTTTAGATACGTGGCGCGTCCTATGGAAATTGATAAACGTCGGGCGCTTTATCCTCTTACGGTAAGAAAGTAACCTCGTTTTTGCCCTTCTAAAACTTTTTTCTGCCCAAATGTCAACTGCGAAATCTAAATAGCTTTCACACCAATTCTACTTTAATTTTCAGCTTTTTATTTACTGCTTATTATTTTCTTTTAATGACCTGGTATTATGTAAAACACAACCACAACGACTCTGAGATGTTTGCAAAAAAAGACAAGTTTTGCAAATATTTCAGCTTCACGGTAGTTTCAATTCTTGCATAGTACATTACGATGTTCCTTATTTACTTCCTTTACCTTTGTTCTCTTAGCTGCTCTCTATGAAAAGGATTCATGCATGAAAGCGTACTTGTTAGCTATGTTGAACAAATGGAAAATAGCCAAAGGTGGATTTCATTTCAATGCCAGAAACGCAGATGCTTTAAGCTTCCAAGTTCTTTAAATCCTCATGCTCCGAACTCGTTTTATTGAGGAAAGTCTGTAGAAAATCATATAAAACTCAAACCTCAGGCACCCCAACCTCCTAAGGGACTGCCGTCAATCATCGAAAAACTAGGTATGGGAAATGCCGGCGGTTATTCCTGAAGGCTTTTCATTACCTTGTCGGTCGCTGAATTATGGTTGGTAGATTGCGAAAAATGACCAGAACCTTTTTATCGGAACGAAATGACAGCGATCCAAGCCAGAAACACAAAAGTGAGGCAGTATCTAAGCAAAAATGGATGATGGATATTGCAAAAAAAAGCCGAAAACTATTAGGAATGATATATTAAGAAAGTTTCTGAAAGTATTGAAAACAACAAATACTTGAGATTTGACAAATTAATCTCTTATATGAAAAAATTACGAATTGAGCCTAGAAGAGGCACAAGCGTCACATAATGGAAGCGCAATACCTGTTTCCTCGTTGCGTTTTAAATCGTTTTTAAAAACTTTGACTCTCAGATTGATGGTCTCAGCCCGTTGGTTTGGTTGACAACTTGTCAAACCCAAGAGTAAACGGCTTCTTCTTTCACAAAAGTCTTGCTCTTTCATCTCACCATTAAAAGTCACAAGTGCCCCCCTGGTTTTTTCCTAACGTGGAAAAGAATAGCTACGCAGGAAATTTATCCATCCAATTACATATTTTATAGAATTATAGAAAACTTCAGTATTAGTCATTTGCGGCGAGAAAAGCGACTTAAAAGAAATGAGATTTCTTTCCTGCCACATCAAATACTCAAGATGTGATACTTTATGGAACGACAAGATGGCAGGATATTTTTCATCTTCGGATGGAATGGTGCCACTGTTGGTATTTTTAGACATCACCATTAGGAGAATTACACGTCTCTCCGTCCGGGCCAAGAAGTGGGACACTTTTTCAATGTTTTGAATATTCCAAAGTTCCATGAAGAACATAACATTAACTTTTACGAGCTTTTGGCAAAGAAATTTCTCTTGCAAATGCTTTTTTTTCACTCTAACGGCAGAAGGTTTCACAGATATCTTAATGAAAAATCGCAATTCCAAAGGAAATATGCATATGTACACTTCAAACATAACAAAGAAAAGGTGACTGCTATTAGTCCATAAGTGATCACTTTTCATGTGATGAAATTCCAGGTAGTGGAAGACGCCAAAAGTTTTCTTCAACCATTTCTACTACTCAGGTAGTTCAGTATTGTCCATTGTAAGCTAAGTCTAGTCACTTCAGTATTTTTGTTATGTGACCTCTCACCAGAACAAAAACATTCAAGGATAAGCCGACGTTAGTCAACGTCAGATTGTGTCTTTAAGAAGACGCCTAACTGAACAGAAGTTAACAAAATAATAAAAAAAAGAATTCTGGTTGAAATGAAAGTGCAATCAAAGATAGAAATAATGAATAAAAAACAGGAAAGTAATTGAATACTAAGCTCAGTTCTCTTCTGTAAAGAAAACTCACATTCAATTTTGAGAATTGAAATTCGCAAACGCTTCCGAATGGGGAAGTGCTGCAGCGAGCAGTGCAGTAGCCCGAGACCCGTCGCTCTCGGCTCTGATCCACTGAAAATTAAATCCGAGTTTTTTATGATTGATACACCTGGATTATCGACCGGTTAACCCCATAATAAGGATACAAACAGTGAGCTGATTAAGTGCTAGAAACTACTCGCCATGAAAGTCTTAAAACACAAAATAGAAATTAGCCTTCATTGAGAAAATGTCTCTGGTGTTCTTATGTAAAACAGTTTCATTTTGGTGAAACTTTAGAAATGGTTTCTTCAGTGTTAGCTTCGATTTTTACATATGAAATTTCAACCAGAGATAAATTAAAGCGTTTTGAAATTTAATTCATAACAGCTAAAAACTTCGTATAGCGAAAACCCTAGAAAGCAACGCCCAAGGATTACTCGAAACTTCATAAAAAAATAACATGTAATCAGAAGATAATTCTTTGTAAAGATGGACCATTCAAGCATTGAGTAAACATTCTTTTCGTATTCCACCTTTCAATCAACGCTGTTGATTAGATATTTGTCGTCTATACGGCGATATTCACGTTACGCCATCCTAACATTCTAACAACTATCCGTGAAAGAAGTTTTGTCTTTTGACAGAAATGCGTTTAGCCCACGGTCGAGGCACAAAAATTTAGCGCTACTGCAACCTCGAAAAGGTTTCAATTTCCGCTCTTCGCCGCTAATGTTTCAACCATGCCATGCAAAAATTTCTATCAAATCTGAAACCAAGCGAAAAAAAACATGTGAATTTTCAACACATCACAGACAGTTACTAGGTACCGATATAACAACAGTAAAAAAAAGTAATTACAATCCTAACCGTTTTATTCACCGTCTATTCTTTTTAACGGCGGAGTATTTTGAGAAATATAACTATTACAATGCTGAGATATTTGCAAAACCCCGGACCAAAGGTGTCTACGGTGGTGGGAAACGAACGCGCTATTGTCCTTTCCGGGGAATAACGCGTTCACCACCACACCATGCAGGTCCTTCGTTTCACCCGCCTCTCAGCTAGTTCTATCGATCTCGATATCGATAAATATATATATACACAATGAAACAGGCCATGATTTCGTCACTGTTCATAACGGTGACAATACAAATGCGATCGTATCAACCGTGCTTGTCTTACTTGAATACTAGAACGGCCATCCTCGCCGACTGTGCGGCTCCCAGCTTAATCTTCATTTCTCCGAGTTTTTCTGGTTTAGCCACTGTGGTTCCCTGGAGTCCCGAGGTCACCCTAACCATGCTTATCACAAAAACAAAAGGTAAAAATGAGAAGAAAACTAGCTCTCAGTGGTAATAATAGCGAAAGTCTACGATCCTCTATCCACTTCAATCGTTAACTTCCTATGTAGTAAGTTCTTTTTCTGCTATTTCATCTATTTTATGACTATTTTATGAATACTCGATCCATATTACATTACAATGATAAGGAAAGCTCTCGGTGTTGATCCCTGAAGGATGCGCCATCCATTCGATCTTTTAAGCATCGTTGGAGGTGATTGAAAGCATATCTTGCCTTTAACTCGCAGTGGACTACCGATGTATCGAGCCAGAGCTGCTATCTTTCAGACAAGTTCGGTACCAATTTCTCGACCCCTATCGAATGAAAGACTTGGTGAGCCACAGGCGTTGGAACCGATCCTGGGTGTACTGCAAAGCGCCTCCGACCACTGCGCCACACACGCTCTCCATATTACGTTACCTCTCCGGATTAATTTACAATTTTAATCGATGAAATGTCAAATTTTGGACATTCTAATTGTAAAAGTTTATAGAATCCTCCATAATTGCCGCAAGGAGTACGCTAACAAGAAGCACTTGAAAATTTAACGTATCTAATCGATAGAACTGTTGTGTTTCAGGAAGAAGGTTACCCCGTCGGCGTTCAAATAACACGTTTCCAATTGTCAACAATAAAGATAGCTCGAAAAGAGCTGAAAGGTTTACTTTCGCTATTTGTTCTGAAGAATTCCCTCAACACCTTCTGGTGCGTATAGCCGATTAGCACCTAACCTCGTTACTATGCACGTAGATTAGAGCGCATATTGTGAATGGAACATAATATCCACTCAGCTGACAGATTCGCACAACAAATCGTGGCGTCAGAAACTTTGTTAGAACGAACGAAAGTGGTAGTTGAAAACTCCATAAAAAGCGATATATTAATACGTGAAAATCTGTCGTGTATTTCAGGTCGAGTGTGGCATTGTAAAGATGTTCTTTGGAAATTATGTGGCGGATGTCGTATGCTAGAATGTAATCAAACGTGGAGCTCCTACATTAACATAAAATCCTGTGTGGACTTATTAAAAGGCGCTCAACTGTGAAAACATCAACATGAGAAAAATACTTGATGCTTCCGCCTAGCATTACTAAACTGAACGAATGATCTTCCTGAAGCTTCCGCTTACTACGGTGCTTACCTAGGCAAACATCGATAAGTTTTTCATTCATCTCATGAGCGTACATTATGAACTTTTCAAACGAACAACAACTACTGTAGACTTCAATTATTAAGATCAAATGGGACAAAAGCAGATGAGAGCATTACTATATTTTACATCTACCGATTAATCGCCTTCGTAACCAATGAAGTAGTAAGCACCTGAAAGATGAAGACGAAGGTACTGCTCCAGGATCACTGGCGCTGGGTGAAGCGCAGGTAATGGGTGCATTCGGCCCGTATAAAGACGGATCCAATCCATGAGCCAACGGATCATCACCGTCAGTACTTGATTTGCTAGCGATCTGAAATTATCACATTGTGGTGTAGCCGCGAAGGCGATTTTCAGTTCATCAATCCACAGTCCACTTTCAGAAGAGAAAAACAGCCACTATTTCGAAGCGAGTTGGAAACATAATTAAGGTCGTTTTGCAATGTAAAACTAGTGTTGTTCCATCGAATTCGTGTAGGGGAGTGGCACTTAAATGCAATTAGTTCAATTTGCTCTTTCTTTCCGGCAATTTTCAGTTGTACTCGATTTAGCACGCACAGTGTAATATGGTTTCGGACGAGTCTTCCCGTGAATTTCGGACAAACTACCAATTTTATTCTTATAAAACTATCATTTTAAAAGCAGCATGTTCCAGACATCAACAAAGTTTTCATCAATTAAAAAAGGAGACTTAAAAGAGAATTAAAAAAGAGAAGGAGGAAAAGGAGAACCATCAGACATTATGGTTGCGGATGAGTTGTCGCGTCAGTGGCGGACGAGATGTAGTGGACCTCCTTTTCAGACCGTGTCTCGACACGTTGTCACACCGAGAACATGCTTCACGCCCTCACAAAGTCCACCATCACAAATGCATAATGGGCCGATTCTTTTCGGAGATGCCGTCAATGTTGTGGCAGCTAGTTGTCGCTAAAACGCTAAAGAACTTTGCACAATGAGATTTCCACTGGGCTTCTAATACGGCACAATCGTCCCTATATGTTGCTAAAAGCTATCGAAATAGCCGAACGGATGGAAATTCATGAAAAGCAATGGAAGAACTCGCCGGATATTTTCATGTATTGCTTATTTTCAACTAGTAGTAGTGCTTTCGACGAGGTACGAGGCGTTTGTTTTTCTTTTCAAAAAATTGTTTACATTAATATTTCGAAGAAAATAAGATGGAAGATTTAAAACTAGTGACTCGACGAATCGAACTGTGGAAGGGGCGGGAGTGTAGATTTTTCCGAATGATTACAAGAAGTATCTCTCGGAACGAAAACTAAGAAAAGTTTCTCTCCGAATCAGTTCTATTATAGAATTCGCAGAGTTCAAACCAATTTTCCACGAATACGTAAAGCCGATCGATGAATGTCAAACTCCGAAACGAGCATTTTCTGAAAAGGTGATGCAATTTAGACTAACTTAATTCTTTGCGATCGATTTTTCTGCCACGCTTTTAAGCAGAATTATTTCGAGACTGGAAGTTCATGTGATTAACCTAATTCGTACCGATAAAGAACATCATCAAACGGTCAGTTGCACTTTACTGTTAGGAAGTCGAGGGGTGTTTTAGGTGGCCGGCTTTTTTCACGATGACAGAAATAACTACCCGCTTTACGATGTCTAACTACGCCTATCGCATGCTTCAATGGAATTGAGCCAATTAACGCTTATGGAGATATCCTCATTTCGTGTGACGTGCACGCATCAGGTGCATATTTTCTGCGTCACGATACTCTCGGGAATCGCCGCCAGTCGCTCAGTGACATTTCCCACCTGTGAAAGATGTTCCATTCATGTTTCGTTTTCATCTTGGCTCTTTTCAGCTTGTTAAGATCTGAGATTTCGGAACAATTCGCAGATAATCGAAATCGAGAGCATCGAACGACAATGCATTGCTTTGTATCTTCTTCTATACCTAAGGTTATACGAGATTCCTTCCGAAAATTTTATTGTGGCTAAAGTTTTAGTGCCCCCGCCCTGTTCAGAGTCACAGTGATTCGAGTTCAGTGTCCACAGTCTCTCATCCTTCAGATATGGTTACTCGTAGACACGTCGAATCGAATTCGACGGAATGGAGTATCGTTCGAATGAAGTAACCTCACAGTCCCGCCTAGTTATTACCAAGAATGGGCCATTTTCAGCACGAACTCTTTGAGCTGCACTTCTAAGCTAGCAATTTGATGGTCAGAACAAATGAACCAGCATTGTCCACCATACGTTCACTACTCTCAACGGCTATTACGCACAAAGGTTCCTTGCTGTGAAAAGCCGTGCAAACTTAATGTTCGAAAAAACGATTGATTCGACTAAAAGAGAATCTGTGGAATTCGAATCGATAACCTTGTTATTTACCTCGAAGGAAGCTCGTTGACAGCGTAAACCACTAACGACGTTGCCGTCAAGTGAAAAATCGCCCGTACATCATCGTAGTCAATAATACTATTCTACTCAAGCAAAGATCTACGCAACAAAACGGAAAACAAAGTTTTGGTGAAGGCTAACATTCTAAAAAGAGATAATGGACGCGGTGGAAAGGAAAAGGAAAAATATAAACCCAGGTGATTAAAGTTTAGAGCTTACACAAAAAGGCGAGACATCAAAAATCGGGCCCTTAATTGAAGCGAAGTGGCACGCGCCCATCATTTACAAACATAAATTCCAGGATTATGAAAAAGCCGCTTTGATGACAGGCCTTTCCTACTTCGAAATTCGAGCTCTTTGAAAACAAAATACTTACTTTCGAAGAAAAACTGCATTTTCAATTGATAAAATCATAGTTAGAGACATTTCAGTGGATAAAAAACTCGGATAATTGTAATTACAGTAAGAAAATCCGATCTCGTTCATTAAGACGCACTTTAACTACGCTTTTCACGCTCCCTTTAATAAGTAGAATGAGAGAAGTTTTTATAGGCGGCAAAGAGATTTAGAGCAGTGTGGTTTTATAGTAGATGAAGCTGTGCACTACACACGTGTATTACTCAAGAATTACGGAGCGTTGGCTATGCGGAACTTAATCGCGACGAAAGCACATTATTTTCACATCAGAGAAAAAACGTTCTCGTGATAATCAGAATAGGACGAGGACATCGCTTCCATCAGCTCACGCAGTTCATTTATCGGTTAGGGTTTCAAATCCACGAAAGATAGGGAAAATACGAAAAAAAAAAACTCCACTAGAAAGCGTGTGACGCTTATCTTACGTCCATTACTCTAATAGTTCTGTTTACTCTCGGTCTCCCATGGTTACTTTCAGAAGAAACGGCGACAGTTTCCATGTTTGTCGTCTTACCTGCTCAATGGACGGTGAAAGTGATGACGATTGCGAGCGGTTCCCATCAGGTGTACTGTGGTCTAACGATTCAAAATCGCCGATGCGCTGTATCAGTGGCGATTCAGGAACGTCCGTTGATGGTTCCGAAGTTGGATCAGGTGTAACAATAGGTGGTGACGACGTCTGTATAGGCGTTGACCAGTCATCAATGGGTGGTTTAGGTAAGATTCTACCGGAAGCTCTTCGCTGTAATTGGGCTGCTGATGGAGAACGAGATTCTGGAGAAAGAGGAGAAATTGGTGGTGGGGTCGGAAGTATCCTAGGACTGCTCGACCGACGTATTTGTGATCCGGGTGTCGGCGGAAGCTGGCGACGATGGCAAAGTGGTTCCAGAAGTGTGGGAAACGTGGAAGTGTTGCGTCGTTGATGCATGGAATTCAGTCGTCTTTGTATGGTGTTGGGCGGAGCGAATTCTCGAGTGAGGCGAGAGCGCAGAGTGAGGAGGGCGCCAACGGAGTCACGAGAGACGCAGAGGCAGCTTCATGGCGATCTCCTTCCAAGTGGGAGGAGACCAGTGGCAGCGAGGACACGGTGTGTGTGGGGGAGGAAGCAGCGCGAACGAGGATATTTCGGGATTTGAGCTTTACAGCGGGTACGGCCGTGGATCGCCGTCTCCGTAGCCCCGGCACCAGCCAAGCAGTCAGCATCCGTCGTCAGTCGCCATAGCGTACAGCGTGCGCTCGAGCCCAACAATTCGCCACTGCTCAACACATCCGCTATCCCTAATCGAATCAACCGATCGTCATGTCTGCTAACTTGTACAGATCTCCGTCGCAAGCTGCTGTCTACAAGTCGCCATCGATGAGCGCCTTCGGTGCTCCGTTTGGCAGTATGTCTGTCGCTGACCTTGGTTCGCTCACTCGTCTTGAGGTCGGTTCTTCTACCGCTGCACCAACCAGTTACCATTTGCAGTACTCTTTCCAGATGTAGAGAAGTGACAATGACGATGTTTTGCACAAGGGAATCAGATATTAACCTCTGCTTATAGAGTTTACTTCGAGCGTCCACAAGTGCTCTTCAGCAATTTTCAACTTTATAGACTGTTCTGTTAATTTCAGGATAAGATCCGACTTCTCCAGGAAGACCTCGAATCTGAACGCGAACTTAGAAACCGAGTCAGTTTTTCACGAGTTGAAAGTTCCGCTTCAAGTCAATCAGCCCTTGATCATTCTAGAAGAACTCTTTTCATCTTTTATTAGGGCAACTCATTTCGCATAGAACAAGTTCCGAGAAATGTCACTTTCCAGAAATTAGTATAGAACCATAAAAAAGCAAAACTAGTATAATAACTAATAACTATAACAGCGTTTAACCCTTGAAATTCAGATTGAACGTGAACGTGCCGATCTTAGCGTGCAACTCATAGCCCTCACTGATCGTCTCGAAGATGCTGAAGGAACGACCGATAGCCAGGTATATTGGATATGAATTAAATATAACCTACTGATGAGCACGTTTCCACCGAGGTAAGTGGTAGTTACTTTTGAATTACTAAGTTTTAGGTGAGCAAAACTACACTTGTTCGCTTAATGGTTATGATTTGGCAAAAATTTATACCTTTGAACAATATTAGTACCAAACTATCATTAAATTCTGATTTATGGCCCTTTATTACGTTTTGTTTTAGGTATAGAGACTCTTTGTTTTCAAGAACGTTAAAGAAAATCTTATTTCATTAACTATCAATAGCAGCTAGAAACGTCATAGCTTTCGTCATCGCACAAGACGTCAAACGGTGTTGACCAGTTAGCAATAAATAAATCGATAAATTGTGTTTTGCAGATTGAATCGAATCGTAAACGCGAAGGAGAGCTGATTAAATTACGTAAGCTCCTCGAAGAATCACAACTTGAATCCGAGGATGCGATGAACGTGTTGCGTAAGAAACACCAGGATGCCTGCCTTGACTATCAGGATCAAGTTGAACAACTACAGAAGAAAAACGCGAAGTGAGCCTCTACCTTCTTTCCTCCCTACTTTCTGAAACGATTTCGTCCATCTCAAAATTTTTTTCGAATATGGGTCATCCAGTATTATGGGATGGTTTCATGATGTTAGGAATTGCCACAGCCGCTGCCGGGGCTCTTTACACAATCATGCTTCGTTGTGATAACTGCTCTCTCACTGACGAGACGCTAGTTCTGCATCGGAGAGCTGAGGATTTCGGTGACAACTTGAAAGGATTGAATGCTCTGAGGAGAAATTCTTAAACGAAATAGAAAGGTGTTTGTGGTGGACAACAACATTCCCAAATCTGGATAATATGTAAGCTTCCATTCATGGACTCTCGGGGATGTTTATGAGCTAAAACAGCCAGCAGAACAGCTGAATTTCGTGAAGTTATGTAAACCGTCGCAATTCATATGAATTCTAATGAACGAGGAACTGCAAACATGCGGAAAGAGAAAGGGAAAACAAGAAAAACCCTTTAGTCCTCACATTTAAGCTATGTGGTGGTTATGGATTCTTATACGTCTTCTTCCACTTCGTAGCTAAGCCTGAAGATTTGCTGTAGACGGTCAATTAACGTGGACTTCTCCTCTATGTTAAAGAACTAACTCGTAACGAAAACAAAAAGTTCGTTTAGTATGCAAATGTTGGAAGAGCGTTACGTCGTCGTCATAGTGGCGTGTCTCCAGACTTGGAAGAAACCGATTTTTTTTCCTAGCGAACAAAACATTTCTGCCAGTAAGCGATTTCTACGATGACGATCCATTCGGGAAAATTTTTTGTTACATATTTTACGTATTTGTGATCCAAACAGTGCGTTACCATCGTTTTTTTCGATTAACTTTGGTTACAAAGAAAATCTCGCAGTGAGTAGTGTGATAAGCGCGGTGGTACGGGGGCGACAACGCAATTACTTTACAGTCACTTTGATTTTAATCCAAGGCAACGGAACAAATCTACTTTACTGGTTACACAGTGGAGATCAAAGCTTATGATTTATGAGAAAGCCAACCACGTCTATGTTATTTTAATCGGGAAAAAGCTAAGGGTTCTTTATTGTTCCAAATTTCAGGATTGATCGTGAACGCCAGCGTCTACAGCACGAAGTTATTGAGTTGACTGCCACCATCGACCAGGTCCAGAAGGACAAGGTACGGCTGTTTCATTCGTCTTCATCGTGTATATTTCTTTCTTTCTTCGTCCTTTTCTCTCTATTATTCATTCTCTTAAACCATTACCTCGCTCTTATTTCCTCGCATTCATTCTCTCGCCCTTTTCATCACTCTCTTCCACTTTCGCTGCTTTCCTTAATTCAAGTAAGCATTAAAAATTTAAATTACATCAACTAATATGTAGTAAGAACATTAATAAACAAGACTCCATAGCAGATCCGATAATTTGATCACTGTCACTGATATATACAGTTATGTAGACTATGTGCAACGCCCTCTGTGGACATCTAAAAGCCTCTGAAATCTGGGAACCAATCGTGCTTTGAAAATTGATACCTTATAATCCCATAAAAATAATATGTAAGAAATCATCACCCGAACATTTGTACAGAGTTCTGAACTCAGTCGCGAATTTAAGCTATTTCTCCTTTTTCCTGTGCTGAATTTATTGGTATCGTCCCTTTGACCATGATCAACAGCCGCTTAATTTATTTTCGACCGAAGTTAGATGGCTGCCAGTGACTGCCTATTCTAGCAAGCTAGTAAAGAGCTATTGAGCCTAGAGGATTAGCCGCCACCACCATCGCCATCACTGAAAATATGTCCCGTTCTTGAATATCACACGCATTCAGTATAGAAACGCAGAAGTATTCGTAAAAAGAATGTTTGTGAATAGGCGGTTACAAGTTGGCGTTCACCGTAACTTCAAGTCGCAGCACAGTACTCATCCGTTCATTATTTTTTACCGTTCTAATAATAGCTGTCGACAACGCATTGACTGATATACAGCACTGATTAAAAATGACACTCTGCCTCATAATTTAACGAACAGTATCTAGAAATTTGACAGAATGTCTATGAGATACTCTTTACCTCTCACTAATTAGTCAATTCGCTATTTATTTTCCTCCTAGGGCTTTTGTTACTAAGATACCGATTCGGAGTCGAGTGTTTCCAGGCACTTTTAAAGGAAATCATGCCCAACTCCTCCATGTCATCAGCATTGCTTGAGCAGTGTATGTCGAGGTAGTGCTGCTTGATCCGAACCAGCTGCTGTCTCTCTGATTACTCATCCACCTCCGTCCGATGTCATTTGTTCACATAGCGAAGACCTTGATGGTGAGAAAAACACTACCGTTGAGGCTTATGACGTCTTTACATTGGAATTATATCCAGTGCGTCCAACTGTCATACCTGAACAAACCATCACACTGGTCGCAATAATGCCATCCTCATCCAGAACTAAACAATGTAGTTGCAAAATACAAATATTGTCTTCACATTTGCTTCAAATAGTCTCAATCATCTCTCTGGAAATTCAATTTCCCTGGCTCGTTTCCTCCAATGACCCATTGGAAAATCCAACAATTAGATTAGCGTGAAAAAATGGAAGCATTTTCTGATCATTAGGCCGTAGAGAACGTTTTCTGCCCACCAGTTATCGACTGAAGTTAAAAATCGATAAAGCGATGAAAATTATTTTGTCGGCATCGTTGAGAGTGTCATATTTACTATTGCACTCAAAAGCGAGCAAACAATCACATAAACTCGTCCAAGAACGCCTACGAATACTCCGAGCGCTTAGGAGTTATCTGTTTTTAAAGCCAGAGCATCTAACATGGAGCTTTTGACTTGAGACTTTTGTTAATCTTCGTTCATCTATTTGGCTTTGGTGGCTTATAACAGCAATTTTTCACTTTTTCTTCTTAGTGGATAAAAAATAGCGGATTATACGAAGGAATTTTGGGTACAGTTTCGAAGCTTCTTGAATGGATGACGAAAAACTTTCAAAGTTACCATCTCATATCTATCTATTTTCAAGCGTTTGGAAAAAACTTTCGCATTGTAGAATCCATCCATCCAGAAAAATGGTCTCAGTGAAAGATGGCAGCGATCAAGGAATTCTCAGAGTTCTTCACGCACCATGCTTCATATCAGCGTATTTGACAACTAGAATATGATGTACAGTATGCGAAATCTGCCACGTTTCAAAAGTCCTTTGAAACGACTCTAGTTGGTAATATTTAGGCGTGAATGGGTATAAGGTTGAAGCTACTTTATGAGATTGCAACACATTGAATAAGCCTGAATTCGTTTAAGAATTTTACTGTAGCCCCTCCAGATTGTTACATTTCCCGGGCTCCTTGTTGATACAGCAACGACTACTTAGCAACCATTTTCTACCCGAGATATCTACGTATTCAAAGTTGCACCCACACTGCTTTCGCAAACGAAAATATTTTATGTCATAACACTAAACTTCCCTTTATCGACTTTATCGAGAAGGGGCAAAATTTATTGTCAAGCCAAAACATGCTCTGATCTTTACCATAATCGGCACTCATTATTCTTCTTAAACTAAGACACCGACCACTTCGAATCATACGAACAACGAGGCATTATGACATTCGCCAACCAGTAAAATCGAATTTATTGCCGCTGAACATCTAAGATGACATCTGACAAACAATCTGTGGATGTTCGGCAACGTATAGGAAATCGTCACGTTAGGCTGAAAAGAAATTTTCTGTCGGAAACGATTATTTTAAGAGGTAGCATTTTTCCCATAAAATTTCATTTGTTGTTCACCAGTATTCAATGGAATAGGAACCTTCAAGAATCCTTGTGGAACATCCAGCACCAAATAACCAGCATATGACCTCTTTAATTGAAGCGACTAGTTCTCAGTATGCTGATGATATTTTTCTTCAGAATACTGCTGTAAATCTGAGGTTAAGAAGGAATTTCTGCTGAAATTCACTGGTTGGATAACTTTTCTTAGTATACGTACGAATGTAGGCCGTTGGCAATGCTGTGTGGTGTAAAGCGCAGGCGGCGATCTTACACTAGACTTGGTCTCAAAAACAACCCCCACATTCACACACATACACAAATCACTATTGCCAACCGGGAACGTACTGTGGATAAACTGGAAGATTAGACTGCAGTGGGCCGATCGTGGAATGCACGGAAATAATTACAATTATCTTCCTGACATTACGACTCGTTTCCAATATACTTCGTATTAGGAATGAACTACTGATTTCAATTTCAGCAAGACTTATCAGGGGAGTATAGCACAAATGAAGCATCAGTCTATCTGAAAGACTGTTTAAGAAAGAATGGCATATTCGGATTTTTTACCTAACTACATTTCTCCACTATCAATCTGCCTCATACCTAATTCTAGTCTCATTACCTCTGCCGCTTCCCGGTCCATTTTCCTAGTGCTCTAGTAACTGTTACATTACTGCCTTAATTTCATTTGTTATTATTAGAGCCTTTTAAGTTCCTGCAATAAGTAAATGTTCGCTTTATAGCATGCTGCTGAGAAAGCTGCTGAACGATTCGAAGCTCAGACTGTCGAGTTGTCCAATAAAGTGGGTTAGCTATTCGCTCTACTTTTCCCGTAAAGCTCAAATCAGTTGTTAATTTAGGTTGAAGATCTTAATAGACATGTGAACGATCTCGCTCAGCAGCGTCAACGCCTTCAAGCTGAAAACAACGACCTTCTAAAGGTTAATTTAGCGATCCTACTCCTACAAAGAACTCATTTTAGTATCAATAGGTAGCAAGCATCAATATAACTAAAATTCGTTATTTTACCTCTGCATTGTTCAAATAATAGTGTAACTGTGCCGTGAAGTCGCATTTCGAATCCCAGCCGCTTCACATCGTTTCGACAATATCCCTCTCAACGTCACAAGTGTAAAGTATACCAAGAGCAAACAGAAACTCCGTGGTTGAAAGCGCACATGCGTTAAAAAGTTTCCCGATTTGTACTGCTTACATCTGGAAGTAAACGTCGTAAGTAAGGGAACAAACCCATCTGCACCTTCCGTTGTTTTGAGTTCCTCGGTATCTATCGCTGTTTGATTTCTTCACACTTTTGCGTCCTGTGGTGTCACATTATGATATTTATTTTACCCGTCACGCAAAAATAAGAATGATCAGTGGCATGGGGGCATCGAGATGGAAGCGTCAGATGTCACATGACATCATGCTTGATAGTGACGATCGCGACAAGGATCGGATGAGGAGGAGAGGGACGAACATCAGAACAATCACCAGAGCAGCTGAGGGTCAATGACAGACTTACACACTGAAGTACATAGTGCATGAAGTAGAGTTATTGATCGGATAGAAGCCCTAAATATAAATCTGTTGCTTAACTGAACTACTTTGTTTTTCAGGAGGTCCATGATCAGAAAGTGCAACTTGACAACCTACAGCACGTGAAATACACTCTTGCACAACAACTCGAGGAAGCGAGGCGCCGTTTGGAGGATGCTGAAAGAGTAAGGGAAAGAATGTTTCATGCAAGACGTACTTGCGGAAACTTATCAAGAGCCAGCACGATATTGAGAAATGCTTGGCATTTTGCGACAAATACAGTTCTATCTATATTGTAAGGTAAAATTTCAAAGTACTGCTTAGTGTTGCCGCAGCACAGCACGTGCAGTGATGATTCGCATAGTAACAACTAGTGTACTAGTATATTGCAATTGTTACCAAATCTTCTTTAGTCCTGTATTGTTTCAAAGTTTTGTTATATTTCTAAATGTGAGCTCTAGGACTATAATTTTGAAGAGGAATAATCATGGAACTTTTACTTATGTTTAATGACTGTTCAGACAAAATTCAAAAAGCATCATCCCAGAGTTAACTCGTTAAGAAGTTTATTATGACAAGATTTTTTAACGACTCTACAAATTCGCAATCTTGCCTTCTTGGTTTTGGTATAACTCAAGGCACCTAACAATGGGTAGAAACCTTCAAAATTACGTAAGCTCTAACACCTATACTCTGCACTCATCTGTAATTCCTTAACATAGAAAGAAACCAACGACTTAGTTCGTGTGCCTATATGTAGCACCTATTTTTTCGATTGCCATGAGTGGATATCGACTCACACTGGTGATCATGGCCCGCTATGTATGAATGGAAACCCATTCACCCGGTTTCTATGAGGTTCTCCATTTTTTTGTTCTTGAAGGGACAATATCCACAGTTAGCTCATCGTACTAAACTGTGTAGTGCTGGTTGTGCTCATGCCATAACTTTCAGAATAATTCCGTACTTAACAAATTTATCTTTACAATGATATGTGCATTGAGTCCCATGAACTTCATATTCCTTTTTCAGGATCTAGTGGTTTCTTGGCTTTGTTTCCCGTAAATCTTTCTTTTCGCCTGTTTACAATGATTCGATAGAATTTTTACTGGAGCTGTTGATAATACTAAGTCAGTGTTATCAGAATAAGCGAGTAGCATGCAGAGCTTCTTTAGCTCGTAACAATCAGAGACGAATGTTTTAACTCATAACAGACGTGACCACAAGAACTCCCCACGAAGAAAATCGCTTAATGTAACAGTTAACTTTTTAACCAGGAAATTCCCGTATAATCAAATAAAACTAAAAACATCCATTTCAACGGACTCCTTTCAGAGCTTTTTATAGAGTTATAAACAAGAAAACCAAAAATATATACACTTTTGATAAACAATTCATTTATACAATATCTACTGAAGGTGAATGAACACTCAGTTTTGTGCTTAAAACAACTTTTTTTTTTTACAAAATTTACTTTCGTATCAATGTCTAAAATCTCCACTGAAAAAACATCCAAATTTAAAACAGGAAAAAGCCGCATGATTTCAAACAAGGTCAACTTAAGAACATAGATGACCAGTTATCAGATTGTAGAAAAAGTCGGTATCTTTGCTTCTGGATTTTTGTGGTGGGCATCCGAGTGATCACTCCCAGCGGTTTCCCGCCTCATTGCGGCTTGGAGGTGTTCCTGAGTGTCGGAGTGCGATGTACAGCGGGGAGATTCGTCCCCACGGCAGAGTCTCCCAAGCTGAGAAAGAGTCCGGCGTTCCCATCAGGAAAGATAGCTAGGAGAAAACCAATATCAGGACCCACCACAGTCCTGGTATCAAAGTCTCATGGTGGCAAATCTCCCCCTGATCCACAAGGGCTGCGACTGCCTGTGATGGTGAAGACCTGGGGCACACTTTGGCCAGGCTGACCTCAGGACTCCAGGGAACCACAATGGCTTAACCAGCAAATCTCCGAAAAATAGTGATTATTCTGGGGCCTGCACAACTAGGGAGGACGGGCCGTTCAAATATCAAGTATCAAGTAAGTATCCGAGTGATCACGTATAAGTTAGACGCTGAGGTTGCATGACCCCAAGACAGAGTCATTCTCCTAGCGTCCGTTTTTTATGGCAGGTATTCAGTTATTCAACAAGGAAATATAACTTCAAGTTCTTTGGAATGTTGAGTAAATCGATAATCGTATAATTAGGAACTAGTTTCATTGTAGTTTTTGTCATGTACTGATCACTGAAATCATTGTTTTGCTCCAGATTGTTGAAGAATGGCAGAAAGCAAAACTAAGTGATGACATGTGATCTTATCAAGATTACGACAAGTGTTCAACATTGGCTCATGAAATGAAAAACAGATCTTTTATCAATGAGAAAAAGCAATAAAGATCACTATTTCTTGGATTCCCTTGAAGTACAAATCAACTAAGTAAATAGCGCATTAAATTATGCTTGCGAATAAAATTCGCTTGATTCCAAGTGAAGAAAAAGGTATGCAGGACAACAAAGGTATTTTTAATGCTTATAATTTACAAAAGAATATTAATTTGTATTTTAAGGAGCGCTCACAGCTTCAGTCACAGCTACACCAGGTACAACTGGAGCTCGACTCTGTACGTACGGCACTTGATGAGGAGTCTGCGGCTCGTTCAGATGCTGAACACAAGCTGAACCTGGCGAACACTGAAATCACCCAGTGGAAGAGTAAGTTCGACGCTGAGGTATGTTTCAGACTTTATTTCGATAATGCTATGATGTAGAGGACTCACCTCTCTGAGGCGTTTGTGCATCGATGTCGTCAGTGAAAACGTTTCCTCATATTTATATTTATGTACTATAGGTCGCCCTCCATCATGAAGAAGTAGAAGATCTCCGTAAGAAAATGCTGCAGAAGCAGGCCGAATACGAAGAGCAGATCGAGATTATGCTGCAGAAAATTAGTCAGCTGGAGAAGGCAAAGAGTCGTCTGCAATCTGAAGTCGAGGTGCTGATCGTTGACCTTGAGAAAGCGCAGAACACTATCGCGATTCTCGAAAGAGCAAAAGAACAACTCGAGAAGCAATGCGCAGAACTTAAGGTGAGTTTTCAATGTTTTAAATCACTACTCGGCTTACTGTTACTGTCTTTTTCAACGAATTTTCCAGGTTCGCATCGATGAACTGAACGTGGAGCTGGAAGCTGCGCAGCGTGAACTTCGTGCTGCCAATGCCGAATTGCAAAAGATGAAGCATCTGTACGAGAAGGCAGTCGAGCAGAAGGAAGCCCTCGCTAGAGAAAACAAGAAGCTTCATGGTAAGAGCTTTCTTCCCGGGATTGACTGTACAATATTATACGTAGTCAACAATGAACTGTTCTGATGATAGCACGTCAATATCGATCGCGTATTTTTCATTGGTGTGAAAAAATGTGTTCTGTTACCAATACTTCATTTGCCATTTAGAAAAAATCTTCAGTTCTTGAGTACATCCGACTTTGCCCATGTTTGCTCATAGATTATTAACGAAACTACTTCAGATGAACTTCATGAGGCCAAGGAAGCTCTAGCCGATGCGAACCGAAAACTGCACGAGTTGGATCTGGAGAATGCTCGTCTTGCTGGCGAAATTCGTGAACTGCAAACGGCTCTTAAGGTGGTTTACTATGCGAACTGTATGAAGATATTTGGGTTACCAATGGCATTTTAAAGTCCGTAAATGTTCATTTGTGATGAAAACAATGTCTCATCTACATCCCTTACTATGTTGCATGACTTCATAACCGCGTCTGAACCTTTTGAACTGCAAAAAATTTCTACAAGTCGACAAAAATTTTCTTTCTCATACCGTTATGTTTTAAATCTCAGACTGCAACAACAGGAACTTTCTAAATTTCTTATTCTACCAGTTGTTTATATCAATCTTCAGGAAGCTGATGCTCAACGTCGCGATGCTGAAAATCGTGCGCAGCGTGCTCTTGCTGAACTTCAGGCTTTGCGCGTTGAAATGGAACGTAGACTACAAGAGAAGGTATGAAGCGCCTTCATCGAATTCATACATGAAATCAAAAGATATTTTTATTCCACAGGAAGAAGAAATGGAAGCCCTACGCAAGAATATGCAGTTCGAGATCGACCGCTTAACAGCAGCTCTGGCCGATGCCGAGGCTCGCATGAAAGTATGGGATTTTTCGAGTTTCTGTGAAATTTTTTTTTACTACGTAAAGTCATTTGCTTGAATAAAGATATGCATCAGACTATTCTAGTACTAATTCTTTTCATCTCTATAGGGAGACCTTCTTCTAATGTTCATAGTACAGGCGGAAATTTCTCGACTGAAGAAAAAGTATCAAGCTGAGATCGCTGAGCTCGAAATGACCGTCGACAACCTGAATCGTGCCAACATCGAAGCACAGAAAACAATCAAGAAGCAATCGGAACAACTCAAAGTACTACAGGCCAGTTTGGAGGACACCCAACGACAACTCCAACAAGTACTCGATCAATATGCTCTGGCTCAACGAAAGGTGAAGCTGTATATATTCTTATTCCCATGACCGACTTTCTGTTAACCTCGGCATTAATTGATAATTCAATGTTTTTCATCAATAAGCAGACACGAGGTTGTTAATATAGAATTTATTAGAACACAATTGCTGACGTTTCGGCGGTTTCGCCTTCTTCAGAGCCTGGAAAGGTCAAATTGAGATGCGATCTACTCAGCCAAACACTTTCATAACCCTAGCAGATAAAACTTGATAAATCGATTTGTATTCGCATAAGAAACAGCTTCATTCAAACACCTACCGTTTATTTGTTGTAAGTATTTAAGTTAGTTGGTGGATAGCCGCCGCACAGAGTAATACATGGTCGATAACTGGGTCCATGTCAGATCATTGGATCAGCCTGAGGTATGGCGGTATGGTAACCGCCGAAACGTCAGCAATTGTGTTCTAATAAATTCTATATTAACAACCTCGTGTCTGCTTATTGATGAAAAACATTGAATTATATTCTTATTGTTCAACCGTTTTTTATCTTCATGAAAATATGTTTTAAGAGTTTGAATTACCCGAGCATGTATTTTTTTCCTTTGAGGTCGCTGCCCTATCGGCCGAACTTGAAGAGGCGAAGACTGCCCTCGACAACGCTATCCGTGCTCGCAAGCAGGCCGAAATCGACCTTGAAGAGGCAAATGGACGAGTCGCTGACCTCACAGCAATCAACAATAATCTCACATCGATTAAGAATAAACTTGAAACCGAGCTATCGACCGCACAGGCCGATCTCGATGAGGCTAGTGCTTCCTGTAAACGCTCTTTTTGTTTTACTTGTTAAGCAACGTCCACTATCTTCGAAAATGCAAGGCACTTGCGGATGTCATCTAGTGCCGTAAGGTTTATCTTCCATTTCTGGTAGAATTTGGCTGTATCATTTACTAAATAATAATCATTTTCAAGGTTACCAAAGAATTGCACGCCGCCGACGAACGCGCCAACCGTGCACTTGCCGATGCTGCTCGTGCCGTTGAACAATTACACGAGGAACAAGAACATTCCATGAAGATTGACGCTCTTCGCAAGTCCCTCGAGGAACAGGTACCGCTTTGAATCAATTCTCCAAGGCAGTTGATTTCATGAAATTCCAGAGTACTTAGTACGCAAATCATTTCAGGTTAAACAACTCCAAGTCCAAATCCAGGAAGCTGAAGCTGCCGCATTACTCGGAGGAAAACGTGTCATCGCCAAGCTAGAAACTCGCATCCGAGATCTCGAGACTGCTCTTGACGAAGAAACTCGCAGGTATATAAGTGACTTTTCCTCACCAAACTTTTTCTGTAATTTTCGTCGTGTAGGCACAAAGAGACCCAGAATGCTCTTCGCAAAAAAGATCGCCGTATAAAGGAAGTCCAGCAGTTGGTGGACGAGGAACACAAGAACTTCGTCATGGCTCAAGATACTGCCGATCGTTTGCAAGAGAAGTTGAACATTCAAAAGAGACAACTCGCCGAAGCCGTGAGTTGGAATGTGGACACATAAAATGTGTTGTTAAATTTGTTACAGTGTATTATTCATTCTATTTCTTATAGGAATCGGTGACTATGGCAAACCTGCAGAGAGTGAGACGATACCAGCACGAGCTTGAAGACGCTGAGGGTCGCGCTGATCAGGCCGAGTCCAGCCTACACCTCATTCGTGCTAAACACCGTTCATCTGTTGTTACTGGAAAAGCTGGAGCAAGCAAAGTAAGCATTTCCTTCTAATTCCATGGCTCCCCTACTGCCCTTTTTTATACATAGCTGTTCCCGAGTAATTTTGCAAATGTTGTTGAAAGAACTGGACTTCGTTTATTCCTTAGCTAATTTCCAGGATTATCTCTCATTACTAGTACTGAAAAATAAAAGCAGCATGTTTTGTGGTGCTCTTAAGGGCTATATCACTGTATATATCACTAGTCATCTTTGTGCTTTTTTCATACTATTCCACAGTCGAGCATTGATCCCCGCGTTACGACAGCCCACTCATAGCAGATTGCGATGTACCATCACTCCGTTGCTATTACGCCAACTCTTGGGTTTCCAGGTATACGTGATGGAGGATGACTATTAAACGACCTAAACTCGTTCTTCCACTCATCAGCCGGGCGTCTTAACTGTGCTAGTAGACTGCGTTGTCTTTGCTACTGTATATTGTTGAATATGTTGTAGTGCTACAATGCCTGCGAGTTTGGCCATCCTTTTCCGTAGAAGGAATTTTTCCTGCTCTCTTTTCGTCATTTTCCTCATCTTCCGTATGGCTTTTTCTCGATCGACATTGCTTTATTCACCGGCGACTCTATGGCGCAATTTGACGCATATAAACATCATTTATATTTTTTCGTTTGTATGAATAGGAAGAGATGTGGTAGCGCTGTCCGTCTTTTCCGACGTGCTCCACCTTTACTCGGTTCCATCACCACCGCCAGCATATACTCCAGTGTTATGTGTTTCACACAAACAACTATCGTTATGAATGGAAAAGTTTTCCTTCTTCTGCCTTTATATGAATATTTCATCATAACCGTTTAGCTACAATTCTTTCTTTCTCACTCTCTGCCTTATAAAGTGTTGAACGAGTAAATGAACATTATGTGAATTGTTTAGCGTTTTCAGCTGTTAGGCATATGCAAGGTCTTGTTATATATAATGAAAGGCTCATAAATCATTAGGTGGCTACTAGCTTCTGGACGCACATCGCACTCAAACGAAAATCAGAAAGAGAAACATGCTTTCAGCAAATGCGTTTGTATTAGCCAATCATGGCCAATTGAAAACCGTTTCTGATGCCACGAAAATTTCATTAACACTTACGCGACGACTTGACTTATGTAGTACACCTTATATTCAAGGACAGAGCTTTATGCTTACACTTCCTCTTATGATTCGATAGCTTGTCCACCATAGGTATTGTGCCATAACTGACCCATGGGAAAGTTATTTTCTGCACTTAGTAATTTACAAAAGCCTTTTTCCGGATAAGTTCACTGGCCCGATAATTCAACGTGTAATTCACTGCTAGTTCACTTCCAATCATTACAATGAGTCAGAGTTATCGAATGGAATCGATGATTACAAAAAACATAAGTAAACTTATATTAAGCTGGAAGAAAAGTTAAGCATTGACAACAATTTCGTTGCCTCGTGGCCAACACTAACATCCAGTAAGCAGTAACAAAATAGCAGGAAATTAACGTGTACTAAATGATGGCATATGTACTATACATACCACCTAACCGATAGAGCAAATTTTCTTCCATAATTCCGCCTTATTCTCAACCATTTAGCTTTCTATCTACCGAAAAATTATTGTTTATTGTCGAAAAGTCGGGAAGTACGTAACTGACCCGAAGCTAAGCATCACCCATGCGAAAATCATGCAAACATTAGCGTCGTCGAGCAGGTATTGGGACGGTGAGGAAGAGACAAATCACAACTAACTTAGGAAGTGATAGAGAATTCTAAGAGGTACTTAACCACCCATGGCAGCTCGCAATTCCAGAAGCCCGCACTCAACACTGGACGTGGGAGTCACCCAGTGGTGAGTACCACAACGAGATAGACCACATCATAGTAGATCGAAGATTTAGCCTTACTGATGTCGCTGTTGTCTCAAAATTCTATACGGAATCAGACCATCGGCTCCTTCTTGCAAGATTCCATCTCCAACGCAAAGGAGAGAAAGCCGCTACATTCCAAAACCGAAGTCCCAGAACCACCGCAAACTGGGACTTATTCAATTCATTAGTCGGCTATTGGGAAGATGCCGTTATCGATAACATCAACGAAGAATACGATCGGGTCATTCAACATCCCCACGTTAGCACTATGAAAGCTGAGAGTTCGAAAGTCACCAAGAGACATTTATCTCCAGGAACACTCGAGCTGATACACCAGCGTGGAATTGCACGAGCTGTTGACAGCCGTGCACTCGCGTCCGAACTTGCAGAACAATGCAGACAGGCGATAAAAAAGATCTTAAAGAAAGAAAAGCAGCAGTTATGGTCGGGCAGAATAAGGTCAGAACACCTGAAGAACCTTCCGCCAGTCCTCGCTCTCACACTGACTTTTCACATGATGCTTGTTAGAATGCAGGGTTCCTACCTAGCGATAGGCCAGTAACACTGTGTAACTCTTCAAGAACAGTGACCTCCAGGATATCGGAAACTATCCCCTAATCCGCTTACTGTTTCTCGTCTACTAACTTTTCACTCCAGTCATCCTATACAAGATTGACAAAACACTGGACGAAGGACAGCCCTGCGGACAAACAGGGTTTCGGAAAGGATTCATCACGATGGACCATATCCACGCGATAACAAGACTCAGTGAGGTATCGCAAAAATACAAAAGACCACTTTGTCTCACTTTCATCGATTTACAGGTCTTTGACTCAACTAAGATAAAAGCAGTCATAGAAGCTCTTAATAGATGAAAATTTCACAACCAAGATATGACCATACAACAACGATATTAACATCAGGGTCAAAAGAGGGGTTAGGGAAGGCGATACAGTCTCGCTAAAATTGTTTATCACCACCCTCGAGAACGTCATGCGAACAGTAGAATTGGACAACATAGGAGTGAAAAAGATGGTCGACAATTACACTATCTCTGCTTTACTGATGACATCGTTCTCATAACATCAAACATTAGCCAAGTGGAACGAATGCTTGCCGACTTTGGTAAGGCTTATCGAAGGATTGGTCCTCAGCTAAATGTCGCGAAAATGATGGTCATGGGGAACGGATTAGTTACGCATGCGTATATCTAGGTCGGTAAACCAACATAATGAACGACCTAGCTACAGCTGATCAGGAGGAAGCAATCGGCTCGGGGAGCTTTCAAGAGCATCGAGGATGTATTGCAGAGAACAAGAAACACCTGACTCCGTGCCCACTTTTTCGATTTAACGGTACTTCCTGCTCTAACGTATGCGTCAGAAACCTGGTCGCTGCGTAAGCAGAATGAAAGGTCACTCAGCGATGTCGAAAGGCGGATCGTAGAAGTATCCCGTTCCACACAAGTAAGGGATAGGATCCGAAGCTCCGATCTGCGTCAACAATCAAAAATCAAAGACGACGTTCTGTATGCCAAACAGTCGAGAGTAAGGTGGGCCGGACACGTAATCTGCATGAACGATAACCGATGGACAACAGCCGTTAATGAGTGGATTCCTCGGGATGTCAAACGTACTGCAGGAAGACCACCGACCCGATGGTCAGAGTTCTTCATAAAAACCCTGGAGGAAAGATGTGATGCTTCCCTGAGCGAGGAGAACCTACTGGGCTACTTATTCACGCGACAAAGAGAAATGGAAGATTAACTGGCGCCCGCTCGATTCACTCGACAATCAACAGGAGAACAGGTAATACATGTGATACAGTAACTTGTGGTGCTTGCTGATTTATGAAGTTAGTGCTGATATGTTTCTGGAGAAGTCTGTCACCAATTTGCCGACTCCGGAGATGCAACGCTTCGTCAGCCTGATGGGTGAGATCAGACCAATGGGGTGTATTACTGTATACCTCTGTCATATTAGTAGAAATTAGGTTGAAAATTCATCACCGACGAACTGCAGCCTTTTCGTTAAATTTTGGACACCTTCATAATGGAGCTCCTTCATCTCGAGCGTGCCTTTTTTGCGAGCCACTACCTCAAATCCAGCCAAACAAATCTTTTTAACAACCACGTGTTTGTTTAATGCTCGAAGAAGGCATCAGAGAACAATTTTTATAAAGGAGGTAATTCAACTTTTTGTTCGAGAGACGTGAGGAAGTACATCAAAAGAGGAAAGACAAAACAAGCTTCGCTCGTATAAAACACTCATTAGGCAATGATAAAATAGCAGCTTATACAAAACAAGGGCAATCTGCTTGACTAAGCCCAACAGAAGTGAGAAATCAAAGAAAAGAAATAAAGAACTTCTGTTATTTTAAAGAGAATGCTCTCTAAACCCGAATTACGTACTGATCTATTTGCTTCGATAGTTTTTCCAACTCTGTGTCAAGTCTTTCCACTTCTGTCCAGCAAACACGAGTTGCTACTCCACTTCCCCACTCACGTAAAAGCTGACGTTTCGGCGGATTCCGCTTTCCTCAGATTCGCTTTCTATGAGTCTTCCCTTGAGTATGTCGTGTGAAGACCAACCGCACAGAATTCACATGGAAGCGTAATGTGTGTCTATGTCAAGTAGCAGAAGAAACAGCTGATATACGAGCTAAATCGAAGAAGATACGCGTAACATACAAGGCACTCGAGCGACTCTTCTGAAGATGAATCGGCAAAGTTAACACCAGGCCGGTTTTCCTCATATAGACCTTCGATGACTAAGGCTTTTCAGACGCGGTAGAATACGTGTCAAGCAATAGACATGGTTCTTGGTTCTACTGTTTTCTATCTTGGTTCATAAAGAGATATATTTGAGCTAGTCAACAGCATCCTAAAGCTTCCGATCTTCTTGCATCAAGCTAACAATATGTAAGATTCATCACTACCGCAATTTTTTCCAAACACAACACACAGTACCAGTCTCCTTTCACTCACTGTTAATCGGACTTTTCGTCAAATATCTTCCACTTTGAATGGGTTCCTCACCGAAAGTCAGAAAAGCTACTATACAACGGAGGGTGTGCACACTATACAATCATGCGATATGGGTCATTTCCTTTTTGATTGTTTATTTTGGCCTACACAACTCTATTTCTATACTACTTGTAATCAATCGACAAAACATCCAACCCAGGTGTTATGGTCGACGTCGGTCGAGAAAAGCGCATATATTTTATATTTTTGCACATAGAAATATACACTAAACTTCGCCAATGAGTTCATTAACCAGTAATTTCACTGGCAATGGACTCTCACTTCAATTGCAATCACTACAATGAATCAAGGGATGGGGTATCGCAGTGGTAGTGACACCGTCCATTAAGAGCACGGTCTTGGTTTGACACCGCACCGAGCACAGCAATTCTGTCATCCCTAAGGTTGAAAATTTTTGCCAAACTTGTCTAAGAAAAGCGCACTCCCTTTAGACAAAGTGAAAACGCCCTATCCCGATATTTCTGGACT